ACCTGCGCAGATGATCAGCTGAAGAGCTTGATCTCAGACCCTTTCGACTTTCACCACCTAACCCACACAAGCCCATCTCAGTTTGAATCCCTCGAAAAGGCTCGCGAGGCTGACTTGGTCACGGAATTCTCTGTTATACGTGCCTCACAAAGACCTGTCACTAATCTCAAGGGCATCCAAGCTCAAGATCTGCATTTCCAGGATTTTTCCACAGAAGATCTCAGTCAATTCGGGGCAGCTATTGCTGACAACGATGTCGCTACTGACACATTACCAGTAAGCCCGCCGGCGTCGCCAGGTGGCTCCTCGTCTATCAGTCCTAAGCAGCGCGACATTCGGAGACGACCAGAGTCGCGCGTCTTCGAAAACTTCTCACGACCTGTTCCCAGTTTTTCCAAAGGGCTAGGGGAAGCAACTTCTCCGCCGAGGGCTCCTTCACCTAGGCTGACGTCTTCTCCTGAGTTGCCTGAGCCAGCCCCTCGAGCTATTGATGAGATTTTGGGCTTGTCCAGCCAGCCAACATACCCTGAGCACGTATATTCGCAGGATGGTGACGATCTCGATGATGATGTATATGGAAATGCTTCATGGTCCCAGCTACACGTGCAGAATATGTTTCCAATTCCCGCCGCCCATGCGATTACCACGGATGCTGGCCACGAGGGTCTTGATGTGAGGACCTCGTCCATGTCTCTGACCACCCTGTCCTCTGATTTGGAAGGGGTTCCAGAAGAAGAGGAAGGTGATGATGAAGCAGTTGCGAGCTTGAAGCATAGGGTCGAGCCTGACTTTCCCATTGCCGAGAATTCCTCTCAGGCAACCACGGGGCTCAGCTCGCTCCCATTGGCCGAGTTCCAATCAGCTTCCGCAATTGATTCTGAGCTGTCTGTATACGTGACTCAGGATTTAGCAAGGAAATTGTCTGAGGCACTTGGCTCTCCTACCCTCCCCAAAACCCGACCCACTACAGAAGCACCAGTGACTGAACGGACAAATTCGGAAGTTGCCCGGAGGCGGTCCTCGGTCGCCACGCGAACTGTTCCTGAGAACATCTATGACTCGTGGGATGCTGATATCGACTATTGCTATGAGCATGCAGCCGAATCGAATTCGAACTTCGACTGGACTCGCAATTCCGTTGATGAGCCACGAGCGGATATGACGGTTGAGGCCGACACTACGGCAGATGGAGACAAAACCACGGTTTCATTCAATCGTCTGAGCGCCACCGCCGTATCCGCTACGGACCGGGACTCCATTCCCTCATTCTTGGAAGTCAGCTCCCACGTGGCTGTTACTCCTTCCACTGCTGAGTATGACGCCGGGATGTCTGTTTCCCAGAGAGACAGTGATTACTTCCGTCCTGTCAGGTTCGGGCCTGCTTTGAGCAAGTCAATGAACCCAGAGTCCTTGTATGAGGACTACTTGACAGCAGATGCGGAGTCGGATCGTCACTTTTCGTTCTATGCGCAGCAAGGTGTAATTCAGCCTATCGAACATTCCATCTCCCCTCGCAGCAGCTTCTCCCCAATCAGCAAGTGCAATTCCCAGGAAAGTCTGATCTTATCCCGCGCGGCATCGATTGTGCGCAAGCATCGATCGTCCGTCTCGACCGCTAGCGTCCCGGACCTAGTGCACAGTCTGGCAAACAGCCGCGAGCTGATTCCAACTGAAGAGATCCCTTCGGGCGAATATACTGCGAATGGGAGACCAGACTCCTCTCACCATAGACAAACCAAGAGCCTTGCACGGGAACTTGAAGCACAGATGCTGTACCGTGCGGAACCGGAGGCAAGCTTCGAGCCTATGGGACCGGGTTCTGCCATCATTCCTTCCATCCACGACCGAGCCAAATCTACGAGCGAGGCCGAGGCGGCACCCTTAGCTGTCGCGGCTGCTTCTAGAGTCGCGCCTCGTCGTAAAGGGAGAGCGTCTTATTCCCTCTTTCCTGCAGCTGCGAACTGAGATATTGTTCGGTCAACACCCTGACAAAGCGACACATCTAATCCCCAGCTTCTCGGCCTTTCCAATTTGAAAGATTGTATGTGTGTTGAGTGTCTTCTCAATTTGTTCTGCCATAGAACGTCTTCCACGAATTTATGATTTCAACCCCTGTTTTAGCGGAGACTTGATTTCAGTTCTTTTACTCTCCCGGCTTCTGCGACGACAATCTGTCTTGCACATTTGCATACCAACACTGCACGCTATGCTCTTTGTTTTCATTGTCCATCTGCGCTTCTCTTGCATTTCTCAGCGATTGGTTCTGTCGTAAAGAAAAAGAGATCGGGTGTTTGCCACTTTTATTGGGTATAGGGATCTGGATTTGGTTATGAGTGGTGTTCAATTCGACAACACCCGGCATTTCAATCTAAAAATGTTTCTTCGGATCCATGGCCGTGACTCGATCAGCTTGCATGTATGCTCAACTTTACTTTTGCTTGTGTTCTCTCCAACATCGATGGTTGCTCGGGTTCTAGTTGCATTTCATCGAGAAGAGAAGGAGATCGGGGTTCGTTTCCGAAAGGAATATTGATAATCATGGGCGATGGGCCAAGAAAAACAAATGAGTTAGTGTGATTCTGGACTCAAGTATCAGCAAAACTGATTTTGGGTACTGTAAGGGATATATGTAGTCTATCTACCGAGATGCAAGCTGGATTGGAGATGCCATGACGATGATCCTCACCGCTTTCCGGCGGTATAGCATTCTGCCTGGTTTTTTCTAAGCATTGCCTTCGCCCACTCGCTCTCCCTTTCCATGCCTCTTTTCTATACATTCACTCACATCTTGTCTTTCGTGTCAGCATGCATCTCATATCCATCTCTCGCACTCCGCAATTTCCCCATAGATAAGAATTCCTGCATACTTATCAGATTCAAATCATGTCTGAGTCCTCGCAAACCCTAGTCAAGCGTCAAAGCAACAGCAGCTTGATGCCTCCTCCGCCTCCACCGAAGCGCATCAAACGACCGGCCACCGTGCTTGATGAAGATGTCTACACCGACGCTCTCTCCGAAATCATCGCACGCGATTATTTTCCTGGTCTACTGGAGGCTCAGGTGAAGCAGGATTATTTAAATGCATTAGACTCGCAGGATCAAGAGTGGATTGCAAGTTCAAAGAAGAAACTATCTGATTTGGTGCAAACTCCTGGAAGAGTCCGAACTCGCCCTGGCTCTGCCATGACACCACAGTTCATTGGAACTGGAAAGCCAGGGGATACTCCGATGACCTGGGGCGGTGATACGCCTTCGTCGATGACGTCTGCTTTCTCATCAGGAAACCATATACCAGTTTTCGAAACACAGCGCCAAGCCCTAGATGTGAGTCGGCTGGGGTTGCTGGAGTTTCAAGCCAAGTACACTAGCGAGGACAACGAATCCTTCAACAGGTTATTAGACAAGCGAAATTCCAAGCATCGGGAGAAATATGCCTGGCTATGGAACGGGAACAAGATTCCGACCGCGCGACAGATCGCCCATCATCGACAGGAGGCCAAGCGGATTGCGGCCCAGGGAGGTAACCCAGATCAGAACAAACAGGCATTGATCAAGACCGACCTGAACGCTCGACCTGCTCAGCCCGACACATGGAAGATGCGTCCGGAGAATTCACTCATGTTTGCGCCTTCATCCGTCGAAGACATTCATGAGACGGCTCAGCAGAAAGCGGAAGCTGCATCTCGAGCAGCGCCTAAATGTGTAGTATACCAGAACACTCGTCTTCCGAATGAGGCTCTCCATCCAACTTCCGGGACTGTGCCTCCACCTTCGCCATCGATATCGGCTATCAAGGATGCTATCGCCGGACGTCCTCGCCCGACTGATTCAGAGCCAGGGTACAATGGCGGGGAAACACCCCGAGTGAATGGATATGCGTTTGTGGATGAAGATGAGCCCGAGTATGACCGTCCCTCACCCAGGGGCGATGGCTCCATAACGGACGATTTCTACTTGCTCGGAAGCGGTGATGCAGTTTCGAATCCGTTCCAGATAACAGAAAATCGCAGACGGGAAGATCTTCACCATCGTATGGTTGATCGGGTGGCACGGACGAGACGTGCGGAAAAAGTCACCCGCGAGACTAAAACTCCTGTGGCAATGACCCCCAAATTCGCCAGCAGTCCGCAACTCGACTTTGGGCAGCGGGCACTAGGTGCAGCTACTCCTGGGACAAGAGCAGGCAAGATGCTGACACCTGCAGGGCAAAAGCTGCTCAATCAAGTAGGAAGTACTCCCCGCCCAGGTGGTTCGTTTACTGGTTCTTCGTCTAATTTGAGGAATATGTGGACACCAACTCCTAGGAGATTCAAATGATGGTGCTCTTCTTATCTTGCCGTTTCTATTTTCTTATCATTTCTCGTGTCGTCCAATTCCTTTGTTATGAGCGTTTCTCTCTCACTTGACTAGATACCATCACACAAAGAACGGCGTTTTGCATCGAGGTTTGTCAGTTGCCATTATGATCAATGGTAGGATATATTACTGGCCTTGAGTGCCAGCTTCTCAACTTGGTTTTTTTTTTCTCGGCAACATAGGGATGCAGGCAACTAGTGCTTGTACGCGTCTTTCTATGCATTCATTCGGCAAAAGCTCTTGGTCGCCACCAACTAGCGTATTTGAGGTTGCATTGGCGACTAGGAACCTGTCCCCATCGCTTGAATCAAATTTGAGATGCCTGAAGTCGAAGGGAACGCAGAAGTTATCTTGGATGAACCAAGCGTCCTAGCCCAAGGATACTCGTATAACGCAAGAAGTAAATGGTTTCCAGGTAATTCACGCACTTAAGTCAGCATCAATGATACACATTCAGCAACATCACATGTCAATCCAAGAAGGGTATCTATGTTCACATATATCCAAGAACACAAGATCTCTCACGATGTCGGGATCAACGAGTCCCAAAGCCTGATTCACGCATATACTTTCAAGCCCCCCAAAAGAAGAAAGGGAAAAGTAGAGCGAACCGGTCAGCGTGGGACAGCACCGGTGTCTGGAGTCTATTCAATTGCCCACAGCGCGGTCCATAGTGCGGTCAGGGCAAAAAAAGCGTTCCATACATCGTGACGGAGACCCGCCGCCATACTCATATAGTACGCAGCTCCCAAGTAGCTGCAGGTGATATCGCCATTTGAGTCCCGGACCCCATAGGAAGAATTTAACCACTGCCCCACGGGACAACTGAAGCCTAAAGCGGACGGGCAGTTTCGGACGAGACTGTGGCAGACGTCCTGGCAGGGGAGGATCTCTTTATAGGGACCCGGCTGGATGTCAGTGTCGATCAACGGATTCCGTGATCGATTTGTGGCAGGATTAGTCAATAAACTACTGTTGGTGATGGAGGTGCCGTTTAAAAATGCCTGGCCCGCATTGCGGACTTGAAGAAAGGAGTCGGTGCTCGAAAAGTCTTGGCACCGGGGGATTGTTACAGCGCAAAGCCACTGTTTGTAGGCCTCGGCGCAGCTGTCGCAGGAGACAGCGAGGGAAAACACAGTTTCGCTGGAAGCATTGCACTGAACCTGTTGGAGGGAGTAATTGAAATTTTGGTAGAGAGATGCGGCATTGTCGTCATAGAATGTGCGTAAGATCGGGGTTTGAGCGGACGAGTTCGATGGCACGGCATAGGCGACTTCTGAACAGAATGAAAGGTCGTACACCAGCGCGCAATTGTCCTCTGTCCTTCTATCAGCAAAGACTGTGCATAGGAGGCAACAGAGTCCGACTGTAGAGCTCACCTGTCTTCGTAGAAAAATTCATCGGCTTCCAAACCTTCCCACCGCCACCTATTATCCCATTACCTGCACTGGTAGAATTGCCGTATCGGGCGAGGATCCCTAAATAGGTAGAGCTTTTATTCAGGCCAGTGGCATAGAGTTGCTCCTTGGGCCGGAACTTGTCACCACGTGTAGTCATACTGGGCTCCACCTTCTTCATACCGATCTGCGCAAGCCGATCGAGGGCACAAAAGGATCGCTCCAGACCCGATACTGCAGTGCTGTTCAAGTTGTTGGCAAACATTGTGTACGGGGGTGTCTTGTTCATCCATATGCTGATGTCCTGGGCGTCAATATCTGTGTCTGTGAGGTTTTTCGTCGTGAAGAGTGCGGCTTTTGTATCCGAGTCCACCAGGTATAGAAGCTGATCCTCGGTATTTACATCGTGAAAAAAGGCATCGGTGGATACTGCGATTTGGTACGTGTACGACCCCAAATACTGCGTGTTATTGGGAGCGGTGACTCCGATATACACATTCCCGTCCGCTGCCAGAGTCGTGCCCATATAGCCCTCCTCCGCGACAAACACCTGTTGTTCTGCACTGTCTTTGTCGGGGCCGGGCTTCTCAAGTGATTCGGACAGCGAGACGAAGACCTGCAGTTGTGGCACAGTGGACGAGGAACCGGTCGCATCTTCCGACTTGTTGAGACTCGGTTTCGAGCAGGCTGTCAGGGACAGATATATGGTCGTCGATCGTTTTGCGATATCTTCGCTCCGTTTCGAAGTAGTTTCGTTGGTGCTGCTGCTATCGCCAGCGGTCGAATCTGTAGGGTAATACCAATGCTGAGTCTCACCCAATCTCAGCGTGCCTTCCTGGTACTGGTTGTTTCCTAGGGATGACACCCCCGTTGGGGCTCGACGGATCAAGTCTAATTCTCGTCCCCGAGTCTCTTCAAACTCCAGCCCATTATATGATTCCAGTGGGAACCCAAACCGTGTGTCGACATCGCCGAGGTATATGGTCCCGTGGCTGGTGACGGCCAGCTGCGCCGAGAATTCTTCTTCAGCATCGTCAGCAGAGACGGGACCAGCGCAAAGAGCCATAGCGAAAGCGATCAGGAAAATAACCGCATCGGCAATCGCAAACCTGTGCGACAAAGCCATTATGGATAGATGTGGTCACGTCCCTTCTGAGCACAATTGACGTAATCATTGGTTATCCAAAAGGGAAAGAAAACCAAAAACGAAAGAGATGTGCTGCCTCTCACGGCTGAGGCCAGCCGAGTCGTGAGAGAGTTACCGAGTAGTAGATGGAACAAGAGGTTCAATCTACGGAGTACTCTGTCGAGGAATGAAGAAAGCGTTCCGATGGGGTGTACATTACAAGTCCAGTACATTACAGTACAGTACGCCTCTGTCTGGAGCAAAAAAAGTTCATGTGAACTGTGTTTACCTGGAGCATTCAATGCCAGATATCAACGTGCCTTAGTCATACGTTATCCGGCTTCCTTCCCTCTTGAATGCTTCTAGATTTTATATGAGCTTACTTAGATAAAAGAGTTTATGGAGATGCATTCAGGACCACATAAGATACACATATATCCCTCTATAGTATATATACACTATCTGAAGCCCCCCTCCCAGCTTCTTCAATACACTTTTTTGGAATTCAACAGACAACTGCACAAATAGCACAGAACACAAAGGGATTGGGGCCAAGCCATGATATGCAAAAGTTTCATGTCAAACAAGCATGATTCCAAAATCAAGACAATCGATGACCAGGTAATGGAAATCGAGTATACCTGCCTTACACAAGCTTGTAGCGACGTGCGGCCACTCCACTAATGATGATAATAGCACCAATGACGCCGATGATCCCGAAGAACCACGCAAGGCTCTCGGTGTGTTGTCCAGGGACCTCCACATTCATACCAAAGAGACCGCAGATGAGGTTCATGGGCACAAGCATGGTGGCAATGAGTGTCACCTTGCTGAGGACTTTGTTGACATGATTACCCAGCATGAGGTTGGTCACATTCAGCTGCGCAAGATAGTTGGTGTGCGACCGGCTAAGCATTTTTTCAAAATGTGCCAGATTAGACATCATGGTTACGACGTGATCCTGGATGTCGCCTAAATATAGGCCAATGTCACCGCGAGGCGTCACTGAGTACTGTTCATTGCAGCGTTTCGAAAAGCCCCGAATAACATCGGCCTTGCCACCCAGTAGCCGCATTAAACTCATGACCTTTTTGCGAAGGCCACCAATGCGTGGTAAAAAGGACTCAAAATCATCCATACGGGCAATGAAAACAAGGTCCTCGATAGCTTCCGACTCGACCTCTATTTCACGGATCACGGGACCAAAGCTATCCACAATATCGTCGCTAGTCCATCACGCGTCAGTTCACAAGAGCATAATAGCCCACGAATTTGATTCCAACTTACATCATGGCATAACAGATCCAGTCGCTGCTGAGTGAGACATAATCGCGAAGCTTTCCGATTCGCTTCCGAACATTAGCTGCATGTGGATTCTCAGTAAATGAGAACGAAAGCACTCCATCGCGAAAGACAACCATATAGAAATTCACGGGCTCCATGAATTGCTCGCTGGTTTTGTCCATCTGGTAAAATGTCCTGAAGCAGACAAAATAATACTGCTTGAAAAGCTCGACCTTTTCACGAGCTTCCTGGGTTAGGATGTCCTCCGTTGTCAAAGGGTGGATGGAGAAAGCTCTGGACAAAGCACCCACTTCGTCTTCTGTAGGGTTCAACACGTCAAGCCACCAGACGCCACCTTCCGGGCCAAGCTGGAAGAGATCACGAAAAGTATCCCCAGGCAAGACCAGGTCACCCAACTCTGCAGCATGCACAGTACTTTGAGATTCGGAAGAGAAAAAGCCAAACCGGGTGGGCTCATTCTCATTTTTCATGTTCTCAAGTAACTCCTTCTCATTCGAAACTTCCGCGAATAGCTTCTCATTCTTCGCGGAAATTGAATCCAGTATATCATCAGATGAATTCTCTGTGCTTGAAGATCGTTTCGTGCCATCACGGTCGGAGTTATGGACGCCCGCACGAAGGTCGTAGAAAATGCGCGGCTTCTTGCTCTGTGAGCTCAGACTATGCTTACGTCTGCTTGTTGTGGGCTTCACTTGCTGGCTGAGTGCAACAAATTCTTCCAGCTCTTCGTAATCGATGACTGGGATTCTGCCAGGCTGCTCGAACGTTGGCACGCAGCCATCATCGGTGGGCTCCAGTTGTGTGTCCCCAGCCTGCGGACGTATCACACTGGCATTGCTGAACGTTGGACGGCGATGGTGCGTACCGCCAGAAACAGTACGTTGAAGAATGGCCTCAATATCAGGAGCTCCGTGGCTCTCCAGGGTATTCGCCCGTTCCCGGCGACGTGGATCTGCGAACGCCTCGACCGAGTTAGGCGGGGAGGTTGATCTAGCTGATACGGATGATTCGCGCGACAAGTTGGCATAATCCTGATGTGTGCGGCTGTAAGTGCGACCATGTCGGACATTGCCGGTGGGATCAACAGAGAAACGACGTCCCAGTGCCGTGAGATCTTGAATCGATCGATCGTCGTCGACAATTGCTTGCTCAAAGTCGCGCGAAAAGGACCCGGCCTCTCGCAGGGCGTCCTGTATAATGAGCAGGTCTGGGCGTTGGGGAGTCTCTGGGTGCAAACACTGCGGCGCGGTATTTTGCCGGCTAAGCGGCACATCGGGTGCGGCGTCCATTCGAGGCGGATCCAGTTGAAATCTGTGGTCATCGAGTTCGGGGACAGGTGTGCTGTATCTAGTGAGAAACATGTATTTCTCGGACTTCGGTGACTCGGACATTGTGCCGGAATCGATTTCCGTGTAGTCGCTGTGTTTCGGAACTAGTCGATCGGTTTTCTTTTTATTGGAGGCGCGTTGCAAATGACTGATATTGAACGCCCTGGCTACTTGTTTCTCGACGTGTTCCGCTGGGCTCAAGAACGCGATATTGCACACAGGATGATGGGTGAATTCCCAGGAGTAATTGCTCCTCCATCCATTAGCCAGACCCGCCGGTAGGGCCTGGCATTACCGATGCGCGTCCGTGTGCCAGCTTCAGGATTGCTGGAAAATCGTCTTAGGGGGGTCTGGTGTCGCCCCCGCAGAAGACCCTGAACTTAGGGCCCAGAAGAGGGTGAGGGAGGGAGGACTGGTTGTAGCGAAGGCCCGCCAACTTGACTGGATCAGGTGAATAGGAGCGTTGTCGCTTCAGGGGGTTGCAGAAGGGGTGGTTAGACAAAGGAAAGTCCTTTGACCAGTGTCTTCGAAGCTCGCCTCAAGATTCGAGCAATGACGTTAGATGTCCGACTTGACACTAGAAGAACACGAGTGCGTGTCAGAAATCCAGATTGATGATCGATGCTGGAAAGGGGTGATCCTAGATTCGGCACCAACAGTAGGAAGGGGTGAATGTGTTATAAGAAGTTGAGGTTGTAGGAAAGTCGGTTAGAATGACTTGTGTGAGGCCGCAAAGCCAGACTTTTCTCAAGAATTAGGTTGGACACAGTGCACTCGGCAAGAGAACTTCACGCAGAAAGTTAGTCACCACTAATCAAAGTCCTTTCGGAACACATTACAGACCTTCTGTGGGATCAACGAAAACGGGGGTGAGTTGTGGTAATCCTGAACTCTCCACCTTGAGAAGGTGATTCCGTCTTAAGCCCAGAGACGAGGAGGGGATGGGAAGGGGAGGGGGGAGGGAGGGAAGAGGGAGGCAGAAAACCGGAGTTTGGTCAATGATTTATTTTACAAGGGCTCAAAGAACAGTGGACTGAAATTACTTACGATGGAGGCGGGCAGAGATTTCCGCTCGAGGGCCACAATAACACTGGGGTGGGACTGCCCGGGTGTAATCGCATGACCATAGCTTGTATACCTCCCTCCTTTTTTGTTTCTCCCTTTTTGTTTTGGGTCAGCGTGAAATGGGGAGGTGGATGATTCCACTCTTTGCTTCCTTAGCTTCAACTCATACAATTTTAACTTGATAGTTAAACTCACCAGTGTATGTACATATATATCTTACAGACAAGACAATACACCCCACAAAGATCGGTACAGAGCGAGAGAGTCAGTGTGGTTACTGTATTGTACTTATAGTACTCAACAACTTCACTTATCACTCTCCATTGTCCAGGCACCAACTGCCACTTCAAATTACCATAGCTTTTACCGACAGAGAATTTACATAAGTAAGGCATGCTTTGAAGAGACACTACGTAGGTATCTCGCATCATGAGGTGGTTTCGAATGTTTCATACGGATTACAGTACAGCATAGTACAATACAGTATAGTACTACATATTGGTATGACTGGTCCTGGTACTACTAAGTGAGTTTATACTACCTAGTATCATGTCAGTAAAGTACTGTACTTTGTCCTGAGCAGATAGACCCAGTGGAGGTTTCCATAGATGCCCTCGACCTCCAGATGTGTTGTAAGTTATGTCTTTGCTCCCGAGTCCCACTTCCTGTTCAAAGATTCTCATTCTCGAGGGCATCAGGCACCAGTTTTATATTTAGCTCCAGCATGTCTTCCGTCCCGAGCACGGAAGCCCACGTTCTAGCCGGTAGATTAGTTGATTCGTCGCATGTGATGTCCCAACCGTAAATCATAATGAGTAGTAATCATGGAATCTCCCTCCAAAGATTTTATTACCGCTCATTGCTCCGTGAGGCAAAGAAATTAGGGGTTTCCCAGTCTGATCCCTCGTGGTCACAAGGATGGTTTTGGTCCGTTTGCTGGGGGTGAGAGACCCGGTTCATGTTACATGGTTGTTGAAGTAGCCAATACATTAAATAATTGTGGTCGTAAGAGAAAGAGTAAGGTAGTAGAGTAGTAGAGCATCAGAGCGTAGGCCGACTGACTCGATACTGTAGGTTGTAGGAATAGTCAATTCAACTCTGCATGGTTTAGCTTCTCTGGATCCGACCTCGGCCGATCATCGGTCCCCTTCCTTCCCAGAAGTTGAATTTTCGGCCGGGCGCGCCAAGACATGAAGAGTCACCGAGACGAGCAACTTGGAATCGAGTCAACTTCTATCAAAAGTACTTTGGATCCCATTATCATTCTTCCGGGCCATCCTTTCGACCTCTACCATTTTCTGAAGTTTGTTCTCTTGCTCAAGGCTTTTGGTCTTGCCTAACTTCTTGAACACAATGGCTTCTCCCACCTCGTTTTCGTTAAAGATTCCCTGCTCCTCCGCCAATATCGGACCTGGTTTTGATGTGATCGGCCTGGCATTGTCCCTTCATCTCGAACTTCAAGTCACCATCGATACCTCTAAGGGCTCTTCTCCACAACCACTCAATTGTGTGATCACTTACGAGGACCGGAGCAACAGCGTCGAGAAGATCGACCTGGATCCGGAAGTGAATCTGATCACCCGTGTAGCTCTATATGTACTTAGATGCCATGACCAGAGGGCATTCCCCGCTGAGACCCATGTGCACATTGTAAACCCAATTCCACTGGGCCGAGGTCTCGGTTCATCAGGCACTGCAGTCGTGGCCGGTGTAATGCTGGGAAATGAAGTAGGCCGCCTGGGCCTGAGCAAGGAGCGGATGCTAGATTATTGCTTAATGATAGGTGAGTTATCCCAGATGTGAGGTGCAGAGAGGTGGCCAGAACTCTACCGGGGCAGCGGGATTGTGCTGACTATGTCTACAGAGCGACACCCTGACAACGTTGCTGCCTCGCTCTTTGGAGGTTTCGTCGGAACCTACCTCAACGAACTCAAGCCTGAGGACGTAGCGCGCAAGGAAATACCTCTTAGTGAAGTCCTTCCCGCCCCCGCCGGTGGCCTTGATACCGGGAAGAGGCCCCCCGAGCCTCCTATTGGAATCGGCCACTATAGGAAGTTTCAGTGGGCCAAGGAAATCAAGGCTATCGCTATCATTCCCGACTTTGTGGTGCCAACCGCCAACGCAAGAAGCGTCTTGCCGACTTCCTACTCACGAGCGGATGTGGTAAGTTTTTCTGGGCCCTCATTTCGCACCTGGCGTACGGGGTTTATCAAAGAGATGTATCACGGCACTAATTGGCCACGTCAATCAGGTTTACAACCTCCAACGCACTGCTTTGCTCCCTGCCGCCCTGGGCAGTTCCCCCCCGGACCCGGATATGATCTATCTGGCTATGCAAGACAAGGTTCACCAGCCTTATCGCCAGACTCTTATTCCGGGTCTGACGGAGATTCTTCAGTCAATGAATCCACGTACCCAACCTGGTCTCTTGGGAATATGCCTTTCAGGCGCGGGTCCAACTATTTTGGCTCTAGCAACCGACAATTTCGAGGAGATCGCAGATCGTATCATTGCTCGCTTTGCTTCCAATAACATCACTTGTCAGTGGAAGCTGCTCGAGCCTGCCCAGGCCGGTGCCACTATCCAGTACTAAAGAACGTGCCAATATGCCACAATTGCATGCCGCTTTCCTCAATAATTCACATAGGCATACAGATCTGAAGCAAGGTTCTATGGTCTTATAGCGTGCCAATCTGCGAGTAAATAGATATCTACCGGGGCAAAGCATGCACACAAGAAATGGTTCCAGGGATCATAAAGTGGACTTGCTACTTAACGACCTGTATAATGGTTAAAAGCCCGTTATCTGAGGGGTCTCCAGAATCACTTGCACTATCCTCGGCTTAGGCCCTATAGAGTCGACTATGTAGCTATTCAACCAACAAACACCGGTGGTGTTGATTGTATTTTTGTTTGTTTAGCTGGTGAACAATAGAAGTCGCCGCACACGGTGGCTTATCTGTATCGGAGCCTCGATAAGCCAAGGCGGTGGAGATAATGCCACGACTTCAACTCCTGCTGCCGTCACTACATGGAAGGGGCTGTGTCTGACCACGAAGAGTCAAAGCCGACCGTGAGCGTTGATTATCCTTATTTAAGTGCACGCCCACAGACTTTGCCATGGACAATCTGCTAGCTCCTATCCAAGATGCTCTGGAAGGCCAAATAGTAAGTAGACTCCTGCTCGTTAGTCAAACATAACAGAGCATTAACCCAGTCCTTTCTACCTTGACAGGACTACCAAGGCCAGCACATGGCAGAACTTCTTTCTACGGTCCTTCTCATCATGTCAGGTGTGAGTACAAGCATGCTGGAATCACCAATGTCGCTGTGTCTGTCCCATGGGCCGCTTACGAGTATTCTTGAAAGGCTATTGCTTTCCTTGTGGGATACATTCAGCAAGACATTCATCTAACCCTCTGGGTTGGACTCGCGGGTACAGTAGCAACTGGCTTGATGGTGATCCCGCCTTGGCCTATGTACAACAAGAGGCCTGAAAAATGGCTGGCACCGACGTCGGCAGATATGGGAGTTGCAGGGGTCATGGTAGATGGTGTAAAGTTGCATGAGATTTAGCTGTGGACTTTACAATTTATTCTGAGCCTGATTCGATCACGGTTGTCCGCGTCCCTCACAAACAGCCTAGATCTGTATGAATAATTCGAAAGTCACTGCTCGGAATGCAAAAGAAACCGCTCAACGCCACCCAATCCCTCCCAGTCCGATCATACTCAGTTAGAGAATGTACGAGTGAAGCCATGGCCAGCCTGCTGTCTAGACCCAATCGCAGCAGACACGAGTCTACCGACCATACTTTTGAAACTCCCAGTCTCTGTTGTCTAAGGGACAGACTTGGCGAGTTTTCAGCCATCGTGAGATACAGTGAAAGTGGAAGGCGTGCTTGGCAGGAGTAATTCCGATCAGTGCTCTGTACACAAAAAACGGGGAGAGGATAAGCTCACATTACAGATGCCCCAGGCTACTGTACACTCTTCCGT